TAATTAGCTGAGTGGTTAACAATTTAACTGCGTTTGCACTATATAATATAGTTTTGTTATTTGCATCCAATTTTAACATTCGGATGGACACACCATCATTTCTGTACCATACTTATAAACTAGGAATATTCTTTGTCAACATCTAACAGTAACCTTGTTCTGGTTGCTTGGTCTTAGAGTTTGTGATTTATAAGATTTCAAAACAATTCAAACAAACACAAGATTTCATTTTGTTTACATTGGAAGCCCTCAAGATTTGACTTGACCGCCTCTTTAAAAATAAGCCTGCACATAAAGATTATAAAGATTAAAATAAAGATTATACAATAATCCTGTTTATTGCATCCTGTTCATTTCGTTATGGCTTTTCCACCTTAATTAAATCATGGATAATAAAATATTTATTTTATTACCATGATTAATTTAAATTAAGTATCATTTACACTTTTTGCCATATAGCCATTTCGCCAACCTAGCATTGTTAATGATCTGTTCAGAATATCATAATAAACATCAAAAGCATTATTAATTGTTACGTTGGCTGGGATTTGGCTCCTAATTTCATCAGCTTGCTCTTCATTCAACCCAGAGTTAGTTTCGGGAACTTCCACCATATCGGGTTCTATTTCTCCAACTGCTTCTTCCCAGTCGACTCCATAATTCTGATAGTCTTCACCTTCCTAATGGAGTAATGAAGAAATCATTAATACATAATTGACATGCATGGTTGGGAAACATAAAAGGTTGTTGACCCCAACCTGAAAGACTTCGCGTGCCACTGTGGAATTTGTCATTGATATGGCATTCAGGCCTTGTATCCATAGTTGCAAAGGGGTCTTATTCTTCTCCGAACTAAGTGGGTGCCGAATCCAGGCATCTTTCCAGGATGTCAAATGGTTGTTAATCAATGGGAGAAAGATTGAATGAAGGCACCACAAGTGTGTGTCGTTGTTCGGATCCAGCAAACCAAGCCCCTCCATCTCGCAGAATAGATCATAGAAGACACCAGTGCATCCTTGGAATATATCACGCCAAAGCCTCTCAATTCTTTGGTTATGAATACTTTTACCTAGTATACAGGAAAGGTTTTTGAAATACTTAAAAATTTTCAAATTATTTTTTTCCCAATGTATCTGTGTTGCTTTAATCTGCTTTAATTTCTTTTCTGCTACTCTGAGTGTAGATTCCACACCAGGCAAGCTGAAAAACAACTTGACCACGGTGGGATTCGAACCTGCGACCTTTGGTATGCTAGTCCAAGGCTCCACCAACTGAGCAACGGACAAGCTCTTTTCAGCTTGCCCGGCAACAGAATCTATGAATTCATTAACATTGTCTTCCTAAATATATCATAGCAACAAAAGCACAGATTAAAATTGTCTTATACTGCACTATCATCAACCAATGACAGTATTAGTTAATTCAAACCAGTCACAGATTTACTATCACACAAACTATTGACAAAAAGGATAAGTCTGTGTAAATACAGTATATATTTACCTGCCACAAACCTGTTATCATACTTCCTCTTCCAGGCCCACGTTGTGGGTGATTCAACATGAACCAAGCAACCTGGACGTTCTCACCACCCTTGTCAGATCTAACACGTGATGGCAGGCCATATGTATCTACAGCATTTGTGAATGCATTTGCCACAGTCTCAGCCTTGTTGTTGTTTGATGCAAGGACGTACACTGGTATCCGCGAGAAACCGTCAATTCCCCCATGAATAACAATCCTCCACCTAAACAACACTGAAGTTAGTAATCCTTCAACAAAGGAATTACTGTATCTTACAATCATATACAGTATGATAATAAAACCAAAATCAATAATATTATAAATTTTGCTGACTGCATAACTATAGACCTATATTGCTGCCATGTGTATAATCTGACTTTGGTTACACCTGATAACAATTAACCCTATAGTACAAGAATTTTAGTGCTAAATACACTGATAATTTAAATATCTACTGTAGCCAAAGTCTGTTGACATAATTTGAATTATTTTCCCAAATTATTTTTGTTCTGTATCAATTGTATTTGGATGTAATTAATTTTCATATGCAAAAATACCTTATCAGTTTATGGTTCCCATCAATATGCCACAAACTTAGGGGGCTGTGAACTTTATATTTTCTCCTCCTCACAGCTTTGGCCCAACGGTCCATCATACCAACGGGATCAGTCCTTATTAATGAATCCCTTATCCTGTAATGTTGCACCCGATGTCCTTTGCCCATAAGAAAGCCCTTTGTCAAGCGAATGCCAATGTTAGGATTCCTATTCTGTGCTTCCCTTACAAGTAAATCAAGCTGCTCATTACTAATGATGCTATAAGTAGCTGTAAAATTCAATGGGAAAAAATATATAAATTATGGAAAAAACATAAATTAATTAGTGAAAATTATAACAATAATTTGTGTGTAAAATATTTTAAAAACTAGGGAAACAATGCATTAAATTATAACAAAATATTAAAATGGATAGTCTGTGTACATCATCACTGATCAGTGATGTACAGTGACATAGTTGTGTTGTGTGCCATTTTCCACATATAATTGTGATATAATATTATGTACCGGTACTTAATTTAGCACATTGGTGGCTTTAGCATCTAAGCAAGTGTATTCCTTTAAATTGACACTTCTATGTCAACAAGGTGATTAGAAAAGGTCAAGCAAATTAATATATTTACAGTCGATGCAATGGAAGTGTTGATAAAATATTGCATGAATTCATTTCCTCGAGTTGATCAATTCATAGGAATTCAAATTCCTTTTTACTTCCTGTGCGTTTCCTATTGGTCAATCGGCTCTGAAACGAAATCTAATTGGCTCATCCAAACGTAACAGGAAGTTGATCAATTTTCTATCAAATGAATTGATCAACTTAAGGAAAGGAATTGGTGCAATATTTTATCAACACTTCCATTGCTTCGACAGTAATACTAACAGTGAAAATCATAACATCATTTATAATAACAGTACACCCAACAAACCCCTGGGAATGAGGTTGCAGTACACCATAATCATGGGCGCAGTTTTAGTGGAAACTATTTCTAGCATAATCAGTAATATAATGTGTGAATGAGTAACGTCTTGAAGTTAGCCGAGCAAATTTCTACAAGTACAGCATAACTTTGAAACAATGAAAAACCAATGAAAAACTTCAAAAGGAAAAAGGCTCTTTGTCTCTGACTAAAATGTTATTTCTTACAAGCCATCCGCTATCAACGTACCTGTTGATAGCCTAAAGCTTGTAAGAAATAACATTTTAGTCAGAGAGGGTTCTTCCTTTTGAATACAGTGTGTTTAATCCTGGCTACACGTCATCCATCTTTTCAATGAAAAACTGCCTATGTCACTGTACAGCATTCAAAATCCCAACAACCCCCTCCCCCCTTGGGAAATATCGATTATCATGTTACAATCACCCAAGGCTAAAGCGAAACCAATCAGAGTGGAGAATTTTCAATAATATACAGGTAGATCCAATTTTATTATTTTATTTATTAATCTACAGAACTGGACGAATAGACAATATTTTGTGGAAAATGGTTTCTATCCATAAAATATACATAACTTACCAGTAACACTTAAGCCAAATGATTGCATCCTACGTTCCAATGTTCTTTTGCCAACCCCCAACATGTTGCTCATTTCATTCACATTAAAACCCTGCTCCAACAAAAAGTTTACTTGCTCTTCGTTTATATCAAACGAAGGTTTTCCACGCCTGCCAGTATATATTTTTCTCGGACCCGTGCTATTCCTGGAGGCATTAAAACGTTGCTCGCATTGATGTAATGCCTGGTAGGCCGTGTCAACCAACTCAAATGTCCTGTCATCAATACCAACATTGACAAAATATCTCTTAAGTACGTCAAGCCTTAAAGTTATGCCCTCAAAACAATCCGGGTCATTTAAAGAATCTAACCTGTATATTAGGTCTTCAACAGTGTTTAAGGCAGTAACTAGATCAGCAGTTTCGATCGGTCCTACTGTATTCCCTTCCGATGATCCAGCCATGACGCCATATTTGTCTTTCACTGAGGAGACGGCATTGGAGGTCTGGACACGAATGAATTTGGCAGGGGGGTTGTCTTGTGTTAGCTTAATTAATATTGGCGGAGATTTGACGCTATCGTTTAACTCCGCCAATATTCAACATGTGATGATTTTTTTTCAACATATTTTGAACGTTGAAGTTGCGATGGGTGCTAAATTCGCGGCATGTTCAATGTCCGGTTTAACTTCAATGTCAAAACCACATGGGTGTTCAATGTCTTATTTAACTTCAATGTCGAAAGCACGTAGGTGCTGAATGTCTTATTTAACTTCAATGTCGAAAATATGTTGAATGTTCTGCATGTTCAATGTCCTATTTAACTTCAATGTCGAAAGCACGTAGGTGCTGAATGTCTTATTTAACATCAATGTCGAAAATATGTTGAATGTTCTGCATGTTCAATGTCAGATTTATCTTCAATGTCGAAAGCACGTAGGTGCTGAATGTCCTATTTTACTTCAATGTCGAAAGCATGATATACATGAATATTGGCGGTGATATGATGCCATACCTGCCAAGTCTGGCATTATAACATCCAAGAGTATTTGAGCGAAGACATTGAAAAGATTCAGCGGTGTGCTTTGCGAATCTCGTCGCCATTAATGAGTTACAGAGAAGTCCGGAATTTTACTGGTATCCCTTTACTAAAAGCAAGGAGAGAAACATTATATGAACAGTTTTTTAAAAAGAATGAGAATAACGATAAACTAAGCGAACTCTTGCAGCATAAAGCAACAACAGCCTACGATATGCGACCAAGATGCAAGTATTTTCCTCAATTTTTTTTCCAAAGAAAACAGTAAATAACCGAGTAGAAGTATAGGCCTGTTGATTTTGCTACTTTTGAACTCTTAATATTCTTAATAATGTAATATAACGATAACTTGATACTTTTTTTTAACAGTAGATACAAATTTTGTACATTTCTGATGTAATTTAACCTATTGGTTACAAAATCAGTTTTTAAATAAATTAAATTATTAAATTATTATTAAACAATCTCCAAGACCTGTTCTTGATCTTTATCTCCCAATAAACGCAGTAAAAGGGCATGAAATTGAACAGATGGGACCTCTATTTTCTCTCTTAGAGTCTGGTAATCAACTCTGTAATAACGCTCCTTAGGGTGGTTACGGTCGTGGGCTGTATTCTGTAACTCCTCAGTCATCTCTAAGGCTTCATATTTTTTTCAACTCAGTGAATGGGGAGGCCATAAAATTGAGGAGACAATGAAGGATACTTTCAGCAGATGCCTTAGTTAGGATATCTAAAGATTTTTGAAGAGTTTGCACCTCTCCTTTCAAATTCTAAAAGGAAAATATTATCACCAGGAGAAGAGACCCATATCAAAAACCAATAAATAGCATATATATATATGGTCGAAAAAATGTTACCCCTTCGAAAGAATTGCAAAGAAAAATCGCTCTTCGCTCTATAAAGTGGTGAAAACTCAGTTCACATATTATAATCTAGTGAATATTCACCCTGTATTATCCAGACAAAAACTCACCTTGCATTAGGCAAGATCTCTTAAACCAACTGCCGATATTTTTCA